TAGGAGTAGGATTCCTCCCTTTCCTACTACTAGGAGGGGGAAAGGCAGGGAGAGAAAGAGAAGGAAAGGGGGGCCCCACCCCCCTGCTCCTTGTCCAATTCGTACATGGGGAAGGGGGCGCGCTGCCTGCCCTAGGCCGGCCCCTCTCTCTTTCTCTTATGGCCCAACAAGGCCCATTAGTCCCCGGGGGGTTCCGGTAACCCCTCCGGTACTCCGGTAAAATCCCGATTTCACCCGAAACTATTCCTATGTCCAAATGTAGGCTTCCAATATATCAATCTTTATGTCTCGACCATTTCGAGACTCCTCGTCATGTCCGTGATCACATCCGGGACTCTGAACTACCTTCGGTACATCAAAACATATAAACTCATAAAATCGATCGTCACAGAACTTTAAGCGTGCGGACCCTACGGGTTCGAGAACTATGTAGACATGACCGAGACACATATCCGGTCAATAACCAATGGCGGAACCTGGATGATCATATTGGTTCCTACATATTCTACGAAGATCTTTACCGGTCAAACCGCACAACACTATACATTGTTCTCTTTGTCATCGGTATGTTACTTGCCCGAGATTCGATTGTCGGTATCCAATACCTAGTTCAATCTCGTTACCGGCAAGTCTCTTTACTCGTTCCGTACGTAATACATCATCCCGTAACTAACTCATTAGTTATCATGCTTGCAAGGCTTATAGTGATGTGTATTACCGAGAGGGCCCAGAGATACCTCTCCGACAATCGGAGTGACAAATCCTAATCTTGATCTATGCCAACTCAACAAGTACCATCGGAGACACCTGTAGAGCACCTTTATAATCGCCCAGTTACGTTATGACGTTTGGTAGGACACAAAGTGTTCCTCCGGTATTCGGGAGTTGCATAATCTCATAGTCATAAGAACATGTATAAGTCATGAAGAAGGCAATAGCAATAAACAAACGATCAAGTGCTAAGCTAACAGAATGGGTCAAGTCAATCACATCATTCTCCTAATGATGTGATCCCATTGATCAAATAACAACTCATGTCTATAGTTAGGAAACCTAACCATCTTTGATCAATGAGCTAGTCAAGTAGAGGCATACTAGTGACACTATATTTGTCTATGTATTCACACATCTATTATGTTTCCGGTTAATACAATTCTAGCATGAATAATAAACATTTATCATGAAATAAGGAAATAAATAATAACTTTATTATTGCCTCTAGGGCATATTACACTTGCTGAAGTACCATGCAAATGAAGCTAAAGACAACATTATTGACCTTGTACGGGAATATCTTAAGTGCATCAAATAGGTTGTCTTAGTCTGTAACATATAATTATTTGGATCATTTCTCTCTGTGTATACATGGTTGAGTTAAATTTTGAGTGAAGTGGGTTTCAGTTATTTTTATGATTGTTGCAGGCTATCTTTTCTATACATACAAAGTTTTATATGTATTAAATTTACATGTGCAATAAAAAGAAATTTGTATCTGCAAAATTTGATATGCATTGTATTAATGTGCACATGAAAAAAAGGTCTGTGGCAACGCACGGGCATTCTACTAGTTATCTTATATTTCGGGATGGAGGGAGTAGCTGACAATTCCACCCTCAAACATAACAACAATACAATACTACAGAAAGGCAACCTCATGCAGGATGGGAAAAAGGGAATTGCTGGTCCCTACAAACAAGCAACCAATGACAAAAGCACAACACAATGTCCAAAAGCACAACACCACGTCCAGCTACATCGAACGGACACCAAGAACTACAGGAATACACCTAGCACCATATGACAAACTTCCTACCTACCCCCCCCCCCCAATCCAAAATAAGTATCACAGTTTTGAACTAAGGTTAGTTCAAGCTTAGTTCAAAACTGCGACACTTATTATGGACCATAGGGAGTAGTTTTTTCAGTCCACTAGGTATGTGCCCATGTGTTGCCACGTGGCCATTTTTTTAACACAACAAAAAGATCATATGAAAAAATCTTGACGCAAAGAAAATAGACAAAATAAGATTATGTTTTCCTCATAAAGTATATAGTTTCTAGCTAGTTCTTAAACTAATAAAGCAGGAGTGTTCCTATGATAAATCTACTTTATTGGGTTAAAAATATAAGAGATTGATTGATATTTATTTGCTTCTGGCCGTGAATTTATTGCTATATATTGGGTTACTAAAGATGTCTGACAGACACCGGGTTTTACGACTAGAAATGATTTATTTACAAACAATGAATTTACTATTATACATAGATTGATCTAATTTATTGGGTTATCAAATATTGGTTTGGTGAGAAGTAGAAGGGAATGAAAACCAAGGAAAATCAATGGCGGGTACGAGGTTGGATGAAGGCGGGAGAAAAATTAGTGAAAGATGAAACCTTATGTTCTTTTTTAAGTAGTGTATAGTATAGAGATAGAGAGTAGAAGAGAAGAGAAGATATTTTATTTTCCTTTTTGATTGAGGTAAAGAAGAGATACATAAATAGTTTCACTCAAAATAGGTGTTTGGGTCTGAGATGCGGTAGGATCCTGGACCCACGGCTCATGTGAACGCCAGCTCGCTCGCCATTACTCGTGGTCCACACATAGATAGAGGCCTGCCCATGCTGGCCTCATTCCAGGTTATAAGCCCATATTGTATTTTGGATTCCACTAAAATAATCTTATATTTTGGATCAAATTTATTTAGATCATAGATTTAGCTAACAAAATATAATTATGGGCCATACAAATTATATCATTGATTTTGTATTCGAATGAAATTTTCAACGATATTACTTTGACTACGTTTATTTATAGTTTATTAGGTAAATTTACGACCAAAGTTAGACCCAAAATATGAAGGACACTAATAAACATGGATAGAGTAAGTAAGCCAAGGCGGACAGTGAGAAAGGGTTTTATGGGGCCAGTATGAATCATTCACCATGTTGCTGTAACCAATGGGCCCAATGGAGTTTGTATGACTGGTGGGGGTATTTTTTTTAATTTTCGTACAGGCTTAGATATGAGAAATTGCTTTTGGAGGCGTCCAAATGCAAAATTCAAAATTCCTGAAAATTCATATTTTTACACTAAAAAATGAAAACGATTACAAATATAGATAAAGGCGTAATGCACAAGTGTGTAAATTTCAAAATGAAATACGTTGAAACGAGGGTTGTGCAAAAAAACCAAATCTGAGGTTTTTTAACACATAATACTATTCATCCTTCCAGACCATGATTTTTTCTTTTTTGTACATGTCGCATTTCAACATATTTCAACCTGAAATTTTACACGCATACACCTCACATCCTTGTTTACTTTTACATGTTTTTTTAAGATTTTCTGAAACTGGAAATTTTGAATTTGAATTTTTCAAAAATTCGGACTCCATGGAGGCCGAGATCCAGAACACCACACTCCTAAGATATTCATTTCTTTTAGTTTATATAAACATGGGACATTTGCACACACTCATAATACTCACCCCTGTGTCACGTATCATAAAATGCGCACATGTATTTGATGGCCGCACATATGTCAGTCAGATAGACGATAAGCATCTAGCGGTCCAGTAATCCGCTGGGGGTACAGATGGATGTACGGCTGTGCAGGCATGGTGGCGTGGATCATGCATGCAAGAAAAGATTCCTTGCGATGTACATATCACTTCACCATGGCGTACAAGTGAAGAAAAGTCTTTTACTTTCCAATAATGAGAATCAAGGAGAAAAGGCATTCTCAAAAAGAAAATTGATGAGAAAAGTCTTGAGATTTCAAGCATGCTATTTAACTATATCACACCCATATGATTCTGCAAGTAACAGCCAGACAAGGTCGCAAAATAAAGTTTCTGGAGGTGCTAGCAAATGTTAGATTTCTTGTGGTTAACTTCTTTTTTTCTTGTTGCTAACTTGGACAACCATAATTCATGTACCTGAGTACACACATATAAATGTATAAACTAATGTAGTGATATTGTTCATCACCCAGGTGCAGAATAAATTATTCTTCACCCGAGGTAATCTTACGATGACTTCATGATTAAATTACATTTGAAATTCAAATAGTTAAATTCCTATTGATTCACTACATAAAATTTGGCATCAGAAAATAAAAATATTGGTCATAAGAGAAGAAAATTTGTAGTTTATGTATATTTTACACTATGTTTTTATATTTGTAATTTTACGTAACATAAAATATTTTTTACGGCGATTATATGTTTTCTCACGGTCTCTTTTACGTCAGAAATAAGACAAAACTTACAGAACGTAAAATTACGGTGCATCGATGGTAAAATAGAGGGGGGGTGAAAACTATTCCTCATCCAGGGTGACGAATAGTTAATTGTATTTATGAACAATGTATGGTGGGAGAAAGCGCCCGAGAAAACGGACATACAGATAGGGGTACAAACATTTTTCTTCTCTAAAAAAGCCTGGCTCTCAATTTGATTGGAATTGATAAATAGTTCATGACATCGACAAGGAAATCCCGGCAGCATCTAACTACTACTCCCTCCGTCCCAAAATATCCACCCGCAAACATAACCACAGTACAGTAATACAGAAAGCTCAACCTTATGCAGAGGGGAAAGCGGAATTGCAGGTCCCTACAAAAACACAACACAACGTCCATCTTCACAATGACCATGGAAACAGAAGATGCAAAACTTGAGCACGGATTTTTCTTTCTTTTTGCAAACATATATCCAACAGATTAATGAGACAAAACGGTATACTTTGTTGACCAAAGTATAACCTTGGAGTTAGGGCAAGACCGTAGATGGTACAAACCAAAATATATGTATGGTGCAGTACAAACATGCGTACGTATTCTCTTACACAGTGAGTAGTGAGTAGCTAAGTAGGTTTGCAGTCTAGTGCTCTCTCTCTCACACACACGCACACACTAGCTAAGTAGTTCAAGGAAAATAATTAATAGGAAGATTAAAAGGATGTTAGTAAACACTTAGTACACACGAGCTATTAGTTACCTAGAGCTTAAGGTTAAGATCAAGCTGACGCTGCATCTGCTTGTCGCCGCCGTCGTCAAGGGGCGCATTTGGCCATCTCGCCGGCGCCCTAGTCGTTATGGTTGCCGGCGGGTCGTCGTGGTCGGCTGGGAGGTAGAGGTGGGCGTTCCAGCTTCCGACCCTCTCCTTCTTGTGCGCGTTCTGGTGGCCCCCGAGCGCCTGCGACTTGACAAACTTCTTCTCGCAGAAGAGGCATGAGAACAGCCGCCTCGATGATCTCGCTTCACAGGCGCCACCATGGCCATGGACATAGCCGTTGTCCCCGGCAGCAGCGAGGTCGTCTGCTGCAGCCCAAACAGAGGAGGATGGAGGTGGTGGCATGGGGGCCAGCGTCAGAGACAGGTCTAAAGAAGATGGTGCGCCATGGGGAGCCTCCATTGGAGAAGATGGGGAGATATTTGCAGGCCAGCCCGGCTTCTCGCCTTCTCCAATGGCGTTCACTCTCTAGCCTACTGTCTACTGCTAGCCAATGAGGTGTGAGACGTTTATAGATGGAAGCGTACCACTTGCTAAGTCTGGGGCCACATTATTGTGTGGAGGGCCAAGGTCCACCATGGGTGCCCACCCATCCCCACCGGGTACAGCAACTCACGAGGAACACGAGCTCAGAGGGACGTCGAGGTAGTACATCATGGCTACAGAGGTGGTGACAGCTCGGTGGTCATTTCTGCGTGCGTTTGTTGGTCCTTAATTATTCTTTTGTGGAAAGGTCAAAACCATGGCAAAGCCTTACCTGAACTATGGTTCCGCGAAATCCCTGCATCTGCCGAGCACTTGTTTCCCCGCTCCATGATTTTTAACTGCAGTTCCGCGTGCTCCGGGAGTGTGCCGTGGAGCGGAGGGACTCAGAACAGGCCCTAAGTCTCTTTATAAGAGGTTGAATACCAAGGGCCCTCCCCGTGACCGTTTGGGACTCGTCTTTGATCGAGAAAACATACCAACGGGTACGGTTGGGTTACCCACGCCCGTATTGATGAGAATCCTGGAATAAGGGGACACGATCTCTGCTTTGACAAGACGTGCCAAGGAAACCGCCTCGCTAAACGCGCTGAGGTGGGACAGTAAAACGATTCGAATAAAGACTTGGCCGTGGTGTGATGTCATGCTACAGAATACGTCAACAGATTAGATTTGTGTAAATATTATTCTCTCTATGGCAATATGTGGAAACTTATTTTGCAGAGCCGGACACTACCTTTGTGTTCAAAATCTTCTATGAAGTACTTGGAGGAGGAACCCGCCTTGCAACGCCGAAGACAATCTGCGCGCCGGACTCGTCGTCATTGAAGCCTGGTTCAGGGGCTACTGAGGGAGTCCTGGATTAGGGGGTGTTCGGATAGCCGGACTATACCTTCGGCCGGACTCCTGGACTATGAAGATACAAGATTGAAGACTTCGCCCCGTGTCCGGAAGGGACTTTCCTTGGCGTGGAAGGCAAGCTTGGCGATACGGATATGTAGATCTCCTACCATTGTAACCGACTCTGTGTAACCCTAGCCCTCTCCGGTGTCTATATAAACCGGAGGGTTTTAGTCCGTAGGACGAACAACAATCATACCATAGGCTAGCTTCTAGGGTTTAGCCTCTCTGATCTCGCGGTAGATCTACTCTTGTACTACCCATATCATCAATATTAATCAAGCAGGACATAGGGTTTTACCTCCATCAAGAGGGCCCGAACCTGGGTAAAACATTGTGTCCCCTGCCTCCTGTTACCATCCGCCTAGATGGACAGTTCGGGACCCGCTACCCGAGATCCGCCGGTTTTGACACCGACAGGGCCGCTTCATCCAACAATACCACCGAACCAAAGTATGACATGTTGGTAAGCAATATGACTTGTATCGCCCACAGATCACTTGTGTTCTACTCGTGCATATAACATCTACGCATAAAACCTGGCTCGGATGCTACTGTTGGGGAATGTAGTAATTTCAAAAAAAATCCTACACACACGCAGGATCATGGTGATGCATAGCAAAGAGAGGGGAGAGTGTCGTCAACGTATCCTCGTAGACCATTAAGCGTAAGCGTTATGAGAACGCGGTTGATGTAGTCGTACGTCTTCATGATCGACTGATCCTCAGTACCGAACGTACGGCACCTCCGCGTTCAGCACACGTTCAGCTCGGTGACGTCCCGCGAACTCACAATCCAGTAGAGCTCGAGGAAGAGTTTCGTCAGCACGACGGCGTGGTGATGATGTTGATGAAGCTACCGCAGCAGGGCTTCGCTTAAACACCGCTACGGTATGACCGAGGTAGATTGTGGTGGAGGGGGGCACCGCACACGGCTGGGAGAGATCTTTGTGATCAACTTGTGTGTCTAGAGGTGCCCCCTGCCCCTGTATATAAAGGAGCAAGGGGGAGGCCGTCAGCCCTTGTTGGCGCGCCTAGGAGGAGGAATCCTCCTAGTAGGAGTAGGATTCCTCCCTTTCCTACTACTAGGAGGGGGAAAGGCAGGGAGAGAAAGAGAAGGAAAGGGGGGCCCACCCCCCCTTCTCCTTGTCCAATTCGGACATGGGGAAGGGGGCGCGCTGCCTGCCCTAGGCCGGCCCCTCTCTCTTTCTCGTATGGCCCAACAAGGCCCATTAGTCCCCGGGGGGTTCCGGTAACCCCTCCGGTACTCCGGTAAAATCCCGATTTCACCCGAAACTATTCCTATGTCCAAATGTAGGCTTCCAATATATCAATCTTTATGTCTCGACCATTTCGAGACTCCTCCTCATGTCCGTGATCACATCCAGGACTCCGAACTACCTTCGGTACATCAAAACATATAAACTCATAAAATCGATCGTCACAGAACTTTAAGCGTGCAGACCCTACGGGTTCAAGAACTATGTAGACATGACCGAGACACGTCTCCGGTCAATAACCAATAGCGTAACCTGGATGATCATATTGGTTCCTACATATTCTACGAAGATCTTTATCGGTCAAACCGCACAACACTATACATTGTTCTCTTTGTCATCGGTATGTTACTTGCCCGAGATTCGATTGCCGGTATCCAATACCTAGTTCAATCTCGTTACCGGCAAGTCTCTTTACTCGTTCCGTACGTAATACATCATCCCGTAACTAACTCATTAGTAATCATGCTTGCAAGGCTTATAGTGATGTGTATTACCGAGAGGGCCCAGAGATACCTCTCCGACAATCGGAGTGACAAATCCTAATCTTGATCTATGCCAACTCAACAAGTACCATCGGAGACACCTGTAGAGCACCTTTATAATCACCCAGTTACGTTATGACGTTTGGTAGCACACAAAGTGTTCCTCCGGTATTCGGGAGTTGCATAATCTCATAGTCATAAGAACATGTATAAGTCATGAAGAAAGCAATAGCAATAAACAAATGATCAAGTGCTAAGCTAACAGAATGGGTCAAGTCAATCACATGATTCTTCTAATGATGTGATCCATTGATCAAATAACAACTCATGTCTATAGTTAGGAAACCTAACCATCTTTGATCAATGAGCTAGTCAAGTAGAGGCATACTAGTGACACTATATTTGTCTATGTATTTACACATGTATTATGTTTCCGGTTAATACAATTCTAGCATGAATAATAAACATTTATCATGAAATAAGGAAATAAATAATAACTTTATTATTGCCTCTAGGGCATATTACACTTGCTGAAGTACCATGCAAATGAAGCTAAAGACAACATTATTGACCTTGTACGGGAATATCTTAAGTGCATCAAATAGGTTGTCTTAGTCTGTAACATATAATTATTTGGATCATTTCTCTCTGTGTATACATGGTTGAGTTAAATTTTGAGTGAAGTGGGTTTCAGTTATTTTTATGATTGTTGCAGGCTATCTTTTCTATACATACAAAGTTTTATATGTATTAAATTTACATGTGCAATAAAAAGAAATTTGTATCTGCAAAATTTGATATGCATTGTATTAATGTGCACATGAAAAAAAGGCCTGTGGCAACGCACGGGCATTCTACTAGTTATCTTATATTTCGGGATGGAGGGAGTAGCTGACAATTCCACCCTCAAACATAACAACAATACAATACTACAGAAAGGCAACCTCATGCAGGATGGGAAAAAGGGAATTGCTGGTCCCTACAAACAAGCAACCAATGACAAAAGCACAACACAATGTCCAAAAGCACAACACCACGTCCAGCTACATCGAACGGACACCAAGAACTACAGGAATACACCTAGCACCATATGACAAACTTCCTACCTACCCCCCCCCCCCAATCCAAAATAAGTATCACAGTTTTGAACTAAGGTTAGTTCAAGCTTAGTTCAAAACTGCGACACTTATTATGGACCATAGGGAGTAGTTTTTTCAGTCCACTAGGTATGTGCCCATGTGTTGCCACGTGGCCATTTTTTTAACACAACAAAAAGATCATATGAAAAAATCTTGACGCAAAGAAAATAGACAAAATAAGATTATGTTTTCCTCATAAAGTATATAGTTTCTAGCTAGTTCTTAAACTAATAAAGCAGGAGTGTTCCTATGATAAATCTACTTTATTGGGTTAAAAATATAAGAGATTGATTGATATTTATTTGCTTCTGGCCGTGAATTTATTGCTATATATTGGGTTACTAAAGATGTCTGACAGACACCAGGTTTTACGACTAGAAATGATTTATTTACAAACAATGAATTTACTATTATACATAGATTGATCTAATTTATTGGGTTATCAAATATTGGTTTGGTGAGAAGTAGAAGGGAATGAAAACCAAGGAAAATCAATGGCGGGTACGAGGTTGGATGAAGGCGGGAGAAAAATTAGTGAAAGATGAAACCTTATGTTCTTTTTTAAGTAGTGTATAGTATAGAGATAGAGAGTAGAAGAGAAGAGAATATATTTTATTTTCCTTTTTGATTGAGGTAAAGAAGAGATACATAAATAGTTTCACTCAAAATAGGTGTTTGGGTCTGAGATGCGGTAGGATCCTGGACCCACGGCTCATGTGAACGCCAGCTCGCTCGCCATTACTCGTGGTCCACACATTAGATAGAGGCCTGCCCATGCTGGCCTCATTCCAGGTTATAAGCCCATATTGTATTTTGGATTCCACTAAAATAATCTTATATTTTGGATCAAATTTATTTAGATCATAGATTTAGCTAACAAAATATAATTATGGGCCATACAAATTATATCATTGATTTTGTATTCGAATGAAATTTTCAACGATATTACTTTGACTACGTTTATTTATAGTTTATTAGGTAAATTTACGACCAAAGTTAGACCCAAAATATGAAGGACACTAATAAACATGGATAGAGTAAGTAAGCCAAGGCGGACAGTGAGAAAGGGTTTTATGGGGCCAGTATGAATCATTCACCATGTTGCTGTAACCAATGGGC